GCCTGCAGCAGCAGTGCTAAGGCAGAGGAGGGCACAGCTATCCAGTAGTGTCAGCAGAAGTTGGGGGAGGGGAGAGGAGCAGTGGGCAGGGGGCCCAGGGGATATAAATATCCAAGGAGGGCAAGCAAGGCCTGTCACTTGTCCCGACTTAGCACATGACGTATGGAACCCAGGCTCACTGGAGTCCCATTTGGCTGGGCCGCCCCACAACACTCAGCCCCCCAGCACCCTCCCCTCCCCAGTTCCAATGGGTGATACTATAATAAGGAGGTGCCTGGATCTACCATGGATGGAGGCAGAAGTGGACTCCGGCTCATGATCCCTTGGGAGAGGGTGCTGCCCATGTCCTGCCCAACTTCTAGGGTGCTCTAGGGAAATGCCACATGAGCCAAAGAGGCACCAGTCCCTTTTTTTCCCAGAGAGCTCTGTGCAAGTCACTCAACACAACACCTGGCCACAGGGCAGAGGTGACTGCTTCCCCAAGGTCACACTCACTCCAAGCCAAAGACCCAGGCAGCCCCAAACTGGAGCCCAAGCCATATGAATATTTTCTCACAGCTCTATGAGGCTGTACCTTCCACCCCAGGCCTCTCCTCCTGGTACCCCAGAAATTACGGAATGGGGAAGCCTCTCCCAGACCCCCAGCACACCTGGTCTGTGGAGGTACAGTGTCCACACAGGCCAGCAAGCAGGCCCAGAAAACATCCACCATACACAATACTGAGAAACAAGCTGCACGTGTGTCTATCTGTGCACAGGGGAGAAATACTCACATCTCTCTCCTCTCAGGAGCCTGATCGCACTGGGCAAGGCCCTTGGGTCCTGGCTGACAAATGGCTGAGGTGTAAACACTTCCTGTGTCTACTATAATCTTGAGGACATTCTATATAAAGTCTTGGCTGTGAGAACGATATTCAGATGAAGAAACTGAGGCATGATACTAGTGATGAGCCTGAGATTCCACAAGGTCAAGTGACTCCCTAACATACTGTCCACACAGCATAGCTAAACAGCCTTGGACCCTGGCTGCTGAGGTGGGGGCTCTCTGTTCACGCTGGGTCTACCACAGCCCTCCTACTCTCCTGTATCACATTTCAGAAACTTGTTTCTGGAGAAAACTACCCTGTGGTGGTCAGCTTTGGGCAGCCACAGATTGGACAGACTGGGTAGGGAGAGTATTACTGGAAGTCCCAAGAGCAGGCCAAAGAGACCCCTGCTGGTCAGCAGGGGGCAGGGACAGAGATAGGCAGGAAAGTTCTGCAGGGGCTCGGAAGCCTCAGCAGAGTGTCTCCACAGCCTCAGTGATAGCCCCCCAAAGTAGAGTGCTCTGGCTCTGGGCAGCCCCGCTACCACTTAGCCTGCCCTGGGCTCCCTACCCACATTCCACACACCCTGAGCTAGCTGTGAGAAGTGATACCATCCCTAAATCCTAGTATCTGAGGTTATGAGAACTACCAGTAGGGGACACCCAGTGCACCCCCCATCCCACTCAGGGACCTCCCCCCCCCCCCCGTCATAGAGCGCCAACCTCAGCTAGAGACTTTGGTCCCTCCTTGTCTTCTAGCCTCTACATGAAGCCTCCATTACCCCTATGCCCTACCTTGGCCCAGCTGGATCAGCTCCTCCATTCTGTACCTATCCATAGCTGTGGGGCCAGGATAGGCTGCTTCCAGAGCCAGCAGAGAGAAAGGGAAGACAGGAAGGAGGGAAGGGGTGGGAAGCAGAGGGCTTGCTCATGCCCCAGCCTCCACACCCAGCAGTAGCTCCTCCTCATGAGTAACTAAAGGGTCTTCATAGTCAGCCACACCAACAGAGCCCAAGCCTGGGGACAGGATCAATGGGTAGCCTAGGCAACCAATATAGGCGTACAGAGGAAAGACCTGATTAGTTCCTAAACTCTGGGGTCCCAGTCCACTGTTCTTCCCTACCGACTTTACCATACAAAGCTCAATTCAATCCTTGGCCTCTAACTTCCTCCATGTTCCCTCCTTCTGCCAGTTGAGCCCTGCCACCCCACCCACCCACATTCCATGCAGATACAATGGGCGCAGAGCCCTGCATGTGCATGCTGGCACAAACAATTTTAGTGGGATTAGGGGTCAATCTCAGTACCTTGACCACTCTAGGCAAGCTAAATTTCTCCACCCAACTTTTGTTTTTCTTCCAGTTACATTTATATATTTATTTAGAGAGAGAATGTGTGTGTGCCATAGCATGAATGTAGAGATTAGAGGACAACCAAGGAGTCAGTTCTCTCCTTCCACCCCATAGGTCCATGGTTGGAATTCACACCATCAGACTGGTCAGCAAGCATCTTTGTCTGCTGAGCCATCTTGCTGGCCCTCTCTACTCCTCTTTGGCATTTACAATCCCTCAGACCCCAAATATGGCCCCTTCTCTTGCCCAAGTCCCCCACAACTAGCTCAGTCCTCTAATCTGAATAAATATGACATCTCCTAACAGCCCACATTTCCTTTCAACAGCTGTATGTAACCTGGGAAATGCAAACCTGATTTGTCCACAACCTGGTTAAAACCTTCCAGAGTTCTTCAGATTTTAGCACCTGCCAAGAGTCACAGCCCATGTGAGCAGAGGCTGTGTGGCTGTGAGGAAGGCACAGCAGCATCCCACACAGGGGAAGGCAGGGTGCATTTGTCACAGGTAGGCATGAAAAGTGGGGAATTGACCCACATGTGATGTTATATGACATCTCTCCAAGAGCCTCAAAGTGCTCAGACATCTTTTCTCCAAACACTTCTGGATCCATTCTGAATTCTGAGACAGGCAAAACACTATTTTTTGGAGTTAAAATGACATTCCCATACACAAACCACCCCAACAACTTTACAATACAAGAAAATGTCTGAATGTCTGGCTGCCCCCCTCCTCACAGCAGCTCTCTGAGATGACCAATCTCTCACCTGTCAGGTTTAGCTTGATTGCTCCTAATGTCACCCCCTACCACACACCTTTAATCCTAGCACTTGGGAGGCAGAGGCAAGAGGATCTCTGTGAGCCAGCCTGGTCTACAAGAGCTAGTTCCAGGACAGGCTCCAAAGAGAAACCCTGTCTGGGGGGGGGGGGGGGGAAGTCACCCACTAGCACATTCTCCTCACCTAGTTGGGGGGGGGGCTTCATCTGAAACTGCAAGACGGTGACACCCTCCACACGAATGTGCTGATTAGAGATGGGGGCACTCCCAACTCACCCTGTCATGTCTCTGGCTCACTGGACAGGGTACTATGGAGAGGTAGCCCATCTAACTGATGCCATGCTGATGACCAGCACTGTTGCTAAACAGACTTAATATATAACCCACTGGAGGGACCGGACCATGCTATAGAAAGTGACAGTCTTTGTGGCTCACAGCTCGCTCATTTTTAACCCTAAGAAGCCCATGGTTTTAGGTGACATCAGAACTGCCCCAGCCTATATGTGGAACTATACTGCCTCTGCCACCAGCCACACCCAGCACCTAAAGCCCCAAGCTCAGTCCTGAGGGTGTGGGGAGAATCTGCCTGGGGCCCTGACTCACTCTAAAGCTGGAGCTTATTTCCTGTTGGAAACTCTGAATAGCCACAAGCGACTGTGGCTGGGAAGACTGAGTCATCTCCATCAGAGACAGGGGAGGGAAGCTTGCCCCCCTCTTTGCCCACTATAGCCACACCCAAAACCCCCTCCTAGTCCTGCTGCCAACTGCTGGCCCAGTCCACACCAGGACAAGGAAGCAAGGCAAGAAAAGCAGGGGAAGGCTCCCTCCCACTCACCACACCCAAAAGGAAAGGACTGAGACATAGCCATGGTTACAGGGAAGCTGGAAAGACCACCAACTTGCCTAAGGCCATGGAGAGAGCCCAGAGGCCATTGTCTACCTTCACCTTCCCTGTCCCTTCCAGGTACACTCATTACTCCAACAAGTCATAGAAGTCCAACTGGGAAAAGCCAGAACTGAGGCTTCTACTCATGCAGTTTTGCCCACTATATGGTCTATCCCTCACTCTAGACTCCCTTCCCCACTCCTGGAGAACAAGCTCCTCCCCACATACTAAGCCACAGAGAGGAAGGTGGATACCAGGCTGTTCTGGTGCCTGCCTGCATAACATAGATAATGCTGGGGGTCCTGGGATGCCTCAGTGGTCACAAAGGACAATGGCCTCTGGAGTGCCTGCACAAACCTCATGCACAGAGCACATAAGTGTCTGGTGGGTATAAGGGCTTAAGGATAGAGGGAGTGGCTTCTGGGAGTCCCTGGGCCAATGGGATCTTGTCCCATCCTCTAAGATCTGGTTCCCAACCAGGAGGAAAAAAAACTTACCTAGACCACAGGCTGAGCTAACACCCACCCCTCCCAACCCCCCATGCCCTGTCCTCTGCCTCCCTAGGAAATGTTGTTATCTGGCCTCTGCCTTTCTTCCCATTTCACCTAGAGCCACTCCACATCCAGATCATGCCAAACCCAAGCAGGCCAAGCACCCAGTCATGAGGACCCTCTGTACTATTCATATAATACAGAATCTGAGCCCACTTGGTCATAGAAGAAGACAGGCTCAAGCCCCAGTGGACAAGTGGTTTGCCTGGGCCAGTCTCATGCCAGCAGCTCTTACACACACACACACACACACACACACACACACACACACACACACACTTCTGAAAAGAGGGGCCTCCAAAGTCCACTGAGGTGGAGAAAGGAGGTGGGTGGGGGCAAGGGCAAGGACAGTGCCGGAGAGGGGTGCAAACAAGACTATGCCAACAGCTGGTCCTGCCAGTCTTAGGGCCTGAAGGCCCCACCCCCACCAGGATTTGCCTGGAGGAGTACAAGCCACGTGGGTCCATTGGCTAGAACACCCAGACAGAAAGGGCGCCACCTGCTGATATGAGCAGAGCCCATACACATACCTTGTGCTGCCCACCAGAGCCCACCAGACTTAAGCCCAGGCACCAAAAACACTCACTGTCCCTTCCCACCCCTCTCGGCCTGGAGCAGGAATGCAGCTGACCTGTGACTGGGGCAGGATTGGGGCCTGGCCTGGCCAGGGTCCCCATAGAAGTGGCAGATACCATAGGCGTTTCGGGTGCCCCCTCCTCAGGCTCCTTTCTGCGATAGACCTTTCGCTCCTCACGGACGGGGTCCTCAGCTGGCAGAGGACTCCACTTTGGTGGGCAGCTCAGGGGACCTTGCATGGCCTGCACATGGGGGGAGCGACGACGTGCAGGCATCACCATGGCAACAGGGCGGCGCACACGTTGCAAAGAGGCAGGCACGATCTCTGGTGGCAGGTGTAGGTACTGGCGTAGGTGGTCAATGCCCTCATTGGTCAGGTACCAGTAGAAGTGGCGCCAAGCAAAGGTCTCCCGCACCAGGCCCCGAGCTCGCAGTGAGGCCATGGCACGCATGACCTGTAGATTGGTGACTCCAGGCACATGGGGATGCAAGCTGTGTGGCCGCCGGTCCTTCTTGGCCACCATCACCCCCTCACGAAAGAGCACCTCATAGATGGCCCGTAGCTGGTCCAGAGGCATGAGCATGCCTGCCACCATGGCTGCTGGAAGCCTGCCGGTCAGCACAGTATGAGGGTAGCAGGTGGGGCACAGCCAGAAGGCACAGGATGTGGCAGGGGCCACTGGCAAGTAGGCAAGCAGGCTCCGGTTCTAAGCACAAGGGCACAGGCTCAGGGGCAGTGTGGCTCCAGTGCCTGACTCTGTGAATTCCTGCCGGCAAGGCTGCTTGTCTGAGCCTCCCGCCTGCCCGCCCTCCTGGACGCCTAAGCCAGCCCTCTCTGACTCAGCAGCAGGACCGGCCCCTCCCACCCACTACTGGCAGGGCCCCTTAAAGAGTGGGGGGCACCAATAAACTCCTCCCCTCCCAGGCCACATACAGTTCCAATGTCAGAAATCATTACATCCGTTTCTAAAACACTTCTTCCAAGTTCCCAAGACTGTGAAGGGCAGAGTGGGGTCTAACATGGATCAAGAATCATCCCCAAAAGATGACAGAATGAGCAGAAAAGGGGTGGCAGGGAAAGCAGAGGTAATTGTGATCTCTGGGGTGACTGGTTCACAACTATCTGAAAGGAGAGGTTGCCTGAACTGGAAAACTGAAAGTCCAAGGGAAGAAGATTAGAGCCTGGAGAGGAATCTGGAGTCTGAGGAGGGGGATGGGGGTGGGGTGGAGTGGGGTGGGAGGGAGGCAGTGGCAGAGACCAGAAGAAGAGCAGGGACAGCAGCCAGAACACACAGACAGCTGGCTGCAGGTGCCACTGCTGCTGTCATCAGAAAAAAAAGAAAGGGACCATGCCCCTATCTCCAAATGACCACAGAATTTAATACTCTCATGCCAGGCTAGATTAGGGTCCCATCCAGAAACAAAGACACTTCCCAGCCAAAGACCTCTGAAGATAGCTCAGGGTGGGGAGCTCTGGGTGAGGTCTCCATCCACCCACACCTCCAGCACAGCTGTGGGAGGCCAGGGACTCCCAGCTGCCACAGGAAATCAAAGTCACCAAGTCCCTGACGCCCAGGCTCGGTGGCCCTGCCATCTAAAAATTCCCTACCCCCAAGGAGCCTGAGTGTCCATTTGTGGCCTGAGGGGCAGGTGCTGGGAAGAGAACACAAGGGCACCATCAGGGACCAAAGTGAAAGGAAGAGGAACTCTCAATATGCCCTAAGGACTGCCTAGCACAGCTGTCAAAACTGCCAGGTCCTCACAACTGAGGGTCCAGCATGGATATGGTCTGTGTGGGGTGCCACCCAATACCCCAACTCTCCATGTTGTACCCCACCAAGCCCCCAAGCCATTAATGTTCTCCCTAAGTGGACACACCCATTCCCACCAAGCACAGCAAACCCAGGAACTGATTATAAATAAGGCGTAGGTGGGGGATCCTGCGGTGGGAGGTGCTGGCCAGCGGCTGGCAGGCAGCCAACAAAGCAATGCATGGGGCGGGTTTATGGGCTGTCACCATGGCACCCCAGCAGACTCCAAACATACAGACACTAGCCGGTGGCGGGTGGAAACTCTGAAGGCTCAGCCAACAAACAGCTCCCAAAGCCCTCCCAGAGGCAACTCAGCCAGCTCACTGCCGCAGGGCTCTCCCTGTGCCACGCCCTCGGAGCCCAGCCCTGGGAGGCCGGGCAGCACTAAAGCAGGTCTTCGAGACCAAGAGAATACAGCTGCCACACACTGCCATCCCTATAGCACCTAAAGACTCTCCACACCAGTGTTTTAGTTTTGGGACCAGTGCCAACCCAGCCCTACATCCAAATAAGTTCCTACTCACTTGACCTGTCCCTCAGATATCTCTCCTCACTACTCTATACTTACCCACTCAACATCTGCAACCCCCTCCATCTTCCTGACATGGTTTCCTAACTTAATTCCACCAAATCTCCAATCCCACACCCACCAAGCCAATACATAGCTCACCACTGTCCCCAAATGATTTCCAGCAACATCTAAAGTCCTCTGAGCCCTTGGACCTGAAGTATCTTCTGTCCAGACCCACATGTGTGCCCTTATATTCACTAATTCAATCCAGCCACCATCCCCATCCCACCCCTAGGCAGGAGAGGGCAGTAGTTCCCAGCTCCAGAGCAAGGGGCTAGGGAGTCTCTCCTCCCAGCGCCAGCCAGAGCACCTGCAGGCTTGAGACAGAAGGGAGGAGCCTAGAACAACATGTCCTCCTACATCTGCTCCCATGTGCACAGGCATACACACAGCCCTGGTCTGGGTCTGTTTGTCTTCAGGGTCCCTGGACTTAGGAGGACTCCCTGTACCCTACCCTATCTTGTAGGAGCACTGAGAAGTTGCTGATTCAGCACTGAAAGAGACCAGCCGCACTCCCTGGCCAGCCCCTTTAGGTTTCCAGAGCAACCAGACAGCACCCTTGAGTAGTCCCTAGCCCCCCCAGCCCTGGACAAAGAGCCACAGTGTGGCCTTTCCCAGAGCTAGTCTGTCTGGCGCCTAGCGCCTTGGGCATGAAGGTCTCCACAGGCCTACACTGCCAACCCAAACCCCAATCTGTGGGGCATCTGGCCAAAGCCAGGAGTGCAGGCTGACTGCTCAAGGGCCAAGTTTGCACCCTCCCACTGATGCTGCCGCTGCAGCCTGCACTACCCCAGGCAGCACTCATTACAGGGCTTCTGCGGAGCTCCTCTCACCCAGCCCTAGGAGGAAACCTGGAAGGGTATGAACCTCATCTCCAGCTCAGCACCTTCCAATGTTGTCAGGGAGACAGCTGACCCTGACAGTCTGGTGGGATGCTGCACCCAGACAGAGGTCACTGAGTGTCTGACTGTACCTTTGAGGGAGCTGATCTCATGCTGGATAGCTCTCGAGGGGTCCATGTCTTCACTTAGGGGCTGAGAACAGTGTGTTGCAGCCACTGGGTCCAGGACTGCACCACACCGCACTGCCCAGGGCCAGCACTGCAGCCTGAAGGAGGAGCTGGGAGGTGTGGGGCAGGGCTTGCTAGCAAGAGGCGGGGCTTCTGCTGATCAATGTTCAGGACACTACTGCCCCAAAGCGCATGCTCCAGGCCATGCACCACACTGCCCCTCCCCTTCTACAGGGCCAGCATGAGCTTCCTAACCAATAAAATCCAGCCTGACTACCCAGACAACAACAGACAATAGTCAAGTATGTATGCACAGCCAGCTCCACTGGCCAGGGCCTCTGTTACCAAGAGTCCTATGAATGACCTACAGGTTGCATCTACCTTGAAGCCTCAGCAGCCTATCTGCTTTCTAGACCTCCAGCTTTGCCCCATAGATGGGACTGGAAGACAACCAGCAGTGTGCCCTTCCCCAGGTCCTGTCCCATCCAATTTCTTCAAGTGTGATACTCCATCACTCCACCATCCTAGGCTCAAGATGCCCTACCTAGCCTTTGCCTCTCCAGCCAGACTGTTTTTGTCATGCCCGGTCTGTTCTAAGGTATCCCACCTCCCATTAACCCTGTGGCTCAGGACACACCTTTGGGGTCACTATCTGCTCTTCAATATATCCACTTGTCACCACTTCCACTGCCACCCAGCGTGACATGCAATTCCCAGCAGGGTCCAGTCCTCTGCTCCTGCATCACTACCATCACCAAGAAGCAGTCAACCGCTACTCTGGACCAACCAGCACAGAGGTCAGCGGCTCACTGTTGGTAACTGCCTGCATCCTAGACAGGGTGTCCATGCCTGCAGACCATCGGTTACCTCCTTCTGTGTCCCAGAGGAAGTCACAAGAGTGGACCCTAAGTTCTCTGTTCTGGGTAAACAGTGAGGGACAGAGGTGACTGCCACAGGATGTTTTCAGCCTCCCTCAGTCTCCTGTCAGACTCAAGTCTATACTCTTCCATGGTCCTCTCCCAAGACCCTCTGCTACCTTCTCAGGTTCAGAGTCCCCATTTTCCTGCAGACAGACCTATCATTATGGGTCAAGTCAGAGCAAGGAGGCCATGAAAATGGCACAGGAGCAATGTCGGTAACACCCACAGACCTAGACTGAGAATCCAGGTATCAGTCCCATTGAGCTCTTAGACCCCCTCTGCCCCCATTCCTGCAATCTTTGGGATTCAGCCAGTCTACTAGTTCCCAAACTTTGGGAAAATAGTAAAGAATTAAAACATGATTTTCAATATGCATGGTGGTGCATGCCTTTAATCCAAGCACTTGGGCAGATCTCTGTGACTTTGAGGCCACCCTGATCTACAATGGGAGTTCCAGGACAGTCAGATTACATAGAGAACCCCTGTCTTAAACACACACACACACACACACACACACACACACACACACACACACACACAATTTTCTAAATACTCCAGATTACATTTTTACTTTTTACTAAGTTATACCTGGACAAGCTGAGATTCAGCCTACAAGTAAACAAGTCTTATGTGTGTCTGTGTCTGTGGATGTCCCTATGTGGAGTGTATGCAGACTAGAGGCAAATAAGGTTGTTATTCTTCAGAAGCTGTCCACCTTGTTTTGAACCCGGATCTTCCCTCCAGCCCCAAGAATAGGCAGACCTCACAGTCCTAAATAGAGAAGGGCCTGGGGGCGAGAGAGGTATCCTTGGAGAGGAAGCAGGGTGGTAGCACAAAAGCAGGATGCCCTGCTTCTCCACCTTTGTTTGAAGCAAAGTCTGGTCCCTCACCACAGTGCTCTGCTTCCCCACCCCACCCCACCCCCACTGCCCAGATTTTGTGGTTCTAGTTTCCTAGCAATCTACTGTGAAGTACAGACATGTTTTACTGACAAAGCAATAGGGTCTGTAAAGCAACAGGACATTCACAGGAGCTGTGCTCACCAACACAGGGCACGGCAGGAAATCCACAGAAATCCACAACCTCCAGCCTGTTCTGGTTATCTTCAAAGGACAGGCAGTCTGACCATACACTGCTCCCATGGTGACTAAGGGTCCCATCATGTCATCTGGCTTAGGGACACACATCCCAGACAAAGCCAAGTCCTCTTGAAGCTTTCTGACAATACCAAGAAAGGAATGAAGACCCTGAGGACTCCAAGAGACAGATCAAGACAGATTCTCCCCTCTGCACATAGAACAACCCTTTCTCACAG